CTCCAGCAGCCAGGCCTCGCTGCGGTCGGCCAGCAGGAAGGTGTTGTGGTACACGAAGGGCACCGGCTCCTCCTTGCAGCTCCCGCCTTGGCCGTAGCGCTCCAGCAGGGCCGTCATCACCTCCAGGGCCTCCCGGGCCGAGCCGCCCCGCTCCAAACCCAGCCTGTGCCAGGAGGGTTGTCAGGGAGTGCTGGGGGCTGGCACAGCGTGGGCACGGGGCTGGCACAGCGTGGGGACATAGGGCTGGCCTCAGCATCCTCACCATCCTCAGCATCCTCAGCATCCTCACCTCACCAGGTCCATGCCCAGCAGCGCCTCGGTCTCGCCCACGGGCTCGCGGGTCCACACGCCCTCGTTGCCCACGCAGACGCCGCAGTCGTTGGCGCCCATCTCAGCGCCCCAGAGCCAGGCCGGGCGGCTCAGCACCACGGCGTGCGTGCGCTCCGCCTGCTCGATCTCCAGGTACGTGCACTGCGGGGACACGGCGGGACACGGTGTGACACCTGGCACGCTCAGGGCTCTGTGCCTGCAGCCGCCCTGGCACACCGAGGGGACACCTGGCACGCTCAGGGCTCTGTCCCTGCAGCCACCCTGGCACACACAGGTGACACCTGGCACACCAAGGTGCTCAGGGAGACACAGACATGACACCTGGCATACTCATGGCTCTGTCCCTGCAGTCACCCTGGCACACTGATGTGCTCTGGGGGACACACAGGTGACACCTGGCACGCTCAGGGCTCTGTCCCTGCAGCCGCCCTGGCACACGGAGGTGCTCTGAGGGGACACACAGGTGACACCTGGCATGCTCAGCATTTGTCCCTGCAGCCACGGTGGCCCTGCACAGTGGGGGGACACACACGGCTGACCTGGCACCTGATGCACTGATCCCTCTGGCCCCTTTGGCCCAGCACGGCTCACCTGGACTTTGTCCCCAGGACGGTGGCTGGCAGCGGGGACATAGACGATCTCCTGGACCTCGTCTCGGGGACGATCGGCGTTCTTGCCGAAGATGACAGCGGGGGACGCCGTGTGCGGTGGCAGTGCCACGAAGCAGTCGCAGGACGAGGGCACAGCACCGTGCCCGGCCATCCTAAACCGCGTCGGGATGGGCACCGAGGCCGATGTCACCCCCCTGTCCCTGCCCCGGGTGTGTCCCCGGGTCCCTTTGGGGCTGGGCGGGGGAGTCTGGAGGGGCGGCCGGGGGGTGAAGAGGTGCCTGGAGCTGGGGGACACCAGGGACCCCACGGCGGGGTGACTTAGGGGCACCCCCCGCCCCGGGACCCCTCAGCTCCGCACTGACCGGAGCCACCCCCCCTCGCAGCCCCCGTAACCGGGACCTTCTCAGCCCCGACCGCGGGCGGGACCCCCTCCCTCGCAGCCCCGCGGGAGCCTCCCGTTCCCACGGACCTGCCGCTGTTCCCGCACCTCCGCCGCTGCCCGGGCCCGCCCCGGTCCGCCCGGTCCCGCCCCGGTCCGCCCGGTCCCGCCCCGGCCGTGCGACGGCGGCGCCCGGTGGCCGGAGGCCGCACGGCGGCACCGGCCCCGGCACCGGCACCGGCCCCGGCACCGGCACCCGCGTGGGTCGGGGGGAAGTTCCCAAAAGAGCCCGGGGACGGGGGTCCCGAATTTCCTCCCGTGGATCAGGAACGGCGGACCCGGGTGTGTCCTGCGGGGGTCCCGTGGGTCAGAGCCCCGCGTGGGCAGCACCCCCGTGGGCACCCCCGCACCTCCGTGGGCGGCACCGGCGTGGGCGGCACCGGCGTGGGTGGCACCTCCCGTAAACACCCCCGCGCCCCCGTGGGCAGCCCCCGCGTGGGCAGCAGCCGCGTGGGCAGCGCCCCGCCCGGCCCGCGGTATGCGGCCGGACCTGCCGGGCAGCGCCCTGCCCGCGGGGGGACCCGGCCCGGGGGGTGCAGGGCGGCACCCTCGTGGGGGGCTCGGCTGGTCCCAGCCCGTGTCACCTCCACAGCCAGCAGCCCCCGGACGGTGTCCCCGTCCTGGGAAGCCTTGGAGAGCCGAGGACAGGCTGGGGGGCCCCTGAGCCCCTCGGTGGGGATGGTTTGGGGTCGGGATCCCAGACCCCTGGGTCCCTTATTTGGGGTCGGGATCCGAGACTCCTGAGCCCCTCGGAATGAATGATTTGGGGTCGGGATCCCAGACCTCTGGGTCGCTTGGTGGGGATGATTTGGGGTCAAGATGCCGGACCCCTGAGTCCATTGAAAATAAATTATTTGGAGTCAGGATGCCGGACCCTTGGGTCCCTTGGTGGGGATAATTTGGGGTCGGGATGCCAGACCGTGAGTCTCTTGGGCAGGGCTGATTTGGGGTCGGGATTCCAGACCCCTGAGCCCCTTGGCAGGGCTGATTTGGGGTCGGGATGCCCGAGTCCCTTGACAGGGATAATTTGGGGTCGAGTTGCCGAACCCCTGAATCATTTGACAGCGAAAATTCGGGGTCAGGGCGCCGGACCCCCGCGTCCTTCGGCAGGGATGGAGCCGGAGAGCCGGAGCGTGGAAAACACGCGGCGTTTATTCCAGTACAAAACCCAAACCCCACAGCCCCGCAGCCTCTTCTCAGCACAAACTCTCCCCTCGCCGGGCACCCCCGGGGCCGCCCCGCTCCATCCCCGCCGCAGCCGCCCCCCAGCCCGGGGCCCCGGCCGGGCCGGTCCCTCCCTGCCCCGGGGAGGCGGCCCGGGGGTGGATGGGGGACGCGGCGGTTCGGGGCGCGGGGCCGGGATCCCCACGCCGCAGCAGGCTGGACTGGTTTCCCGGCCGCCGTCCCTCCCCACCCGGTTTTACAGCCTTCATTGCCCCATCGCGGCAGGCAGAGCCCCGGGGCTGCGGGGGCTGAGCGCACCTGGGGGGGCTGAGCGCACCTGGGGGGGCTGAGCGCACCTGGGGCCCCCTCGCAGCCCCCCGGCTCTGAGCCAGGCGGGGACAGCTCGCTGAGGCTGGACCCCGAGGCCCCGCGTGGCCGTGGGACCTCCCCTGCCCACCCGTGGGGTGCCCCTGCTGCAGCCCCCCACAATCTGCGGCTCCCCAAAAGGCCGGAGCCCCCCCAGATGCTGCTGGAGCCGGGCTCGGCCGCTAAAGTCCCGTCGGTGCCGCACTGTGGGACACTGGGGAGGGTCCTGAGCCCCCCCCGGGGTCCCTTTGGGAGATGGAATCCCACCTGGGGGACACCGAGGGGGAATTTTGTGCTGGAAAAAGCAAATTGCGGAGTCGGGGACGTCCTTCGAGAGCTGCGGACAGCCCAGGTCACCCGAGTGCTGCGGAGGGACGGCGGTGGCCGTGCTGGGGCTGGGGCCACGTCCTCGCAGACCCCCCCAGCGAGACTTCACCTCGTGCTGGGGGGTCCCGGCCCCACGGCCCGCCCCTGCCCCACGGCGCGGGGGGGCTGCTGCCAGCCCCTCGCGCATCCCTGGGGACGGGGATGGGGACAGGGACAAGGACGGGACCCTTTGAGGGGTCCGAGCCCTCCCCATCGGCACAGCCCACGGCCACAGCTTCGGCCTGGGACATCCACTCTGCCCGAGCGGCAAAGCCTGGCTTCACCTTAATAAAATAATAATAATAATTAATAATTAATAATAATAATAATTAATAATTAATAATTAATAATTAATAATAATAAAACACTCAAAACCGAAGGCCTCGGGGCGCCCTCTGGGCACGGACCCCACTCGACTTCACCTCTACCCCTTCCCCCCTGACCTCGGGGTGCTCCAAGCCTGGGCAGCCCGGGGGGTCAGCGCCCCCCAAATCTCCCCCCCTCCCCAGATTCCCAACTGGTTTGAACTGCTGTTGGCTGGGGGGCAGCGCCGGGGGGACCCCCGGGTGCCTTGAGCAGCCAGTGAACCCCCCCCCAAAAAAAAAAAAACAACCTCCCCAGGTCCCGGGTTTAGCGTCTCCTTCTGTGTCCGAGGGGTTCTGCCAAAATCGGGGTGTAAGACCCCAAAAGATCTAAAAACCGAGATTCGTGGACCCCCAGCCAGGGGTGTGGGACAGATACGGGGTGCCCTGGGGACAGGGGGTGACCCCAGGGCAGGAAAACCACGGGGTCCCTGGTGGGGGAAGGCCCGGGGGGTCCCCGGGAGGTGCAGGGAACTGGGAACGGGCAGGCGTGGGGTCCCCGGGGGGGACGGGCAGCATGCACGGGGGGCCAGGCAGAATTCCCTGGAATTTCGGGATCCCGGGGAGGGACGGCTACGGGACCACGGGGGGACAGGCAGCATGCACGGAGGGGACACGGGGTCCCTGAGGGGACGGGGGGATGGCTGCGGTCCCCAGGAGGGACGAGGGGGGCACAGGCAGCTCGCCCGGGGCTGGGGGATGCCCCGCAGGGAGCGGCGGGGGGCTCGGGGCGGCGGGCGGGCAGCGCGGCCGTGCCGGGCCGGAGGAATGCGGCCGTCCCGGCTCTCCCGGGCCCGCGGCCGCCCCGGTGCTTCCCGCCCGGGGCCGCGGCGGTGGGTGTGGGAAAGCTGCAGGTGTGCGCTTGGGCAACCGCCCGCCGCCCTCCGCTCGCCCGCCGCGGCCCCCCGAGCTCCCCACGGCTCACATTCACGCGGGACTCCTCTTTTTGTGGGTTTTTCCCCCCGCTTTTTCCCCATTCTAGCCACGATTCAGGCCGAAAATGGGTTTCACATCCTCAAGCCCCACAGCCAAAGCGGGGATCCAAGGGGTGGGGGGACCCCCCGCCAGCTCAGCATCCCCAGCTGGGGCAGGGGGATGTCGCCAGCCCCGACCCCCGCGTGTCGCCCGTGGGTGGTGGGCGACAGGAGAACGGGGCTGGCACGGGGCAGGGGCTGAGCCGGGGTGCCACGGTTTGGAGGGGACCGTGGGGAGGGCGCCGGGGGGCTGCGGCCGCCCCCCTCCCCGAGCGGAGGCTCCCGGGTTTCTCCTCTCCTCTCTCCCTTTCTCCTTCTCCTTCCTCCCCTTTGGGCTGGACGTGCCCGGGCAGCTCCTGCTCCTTCGGCTCCCATTGATGTTCCTCCCAAACAGCCCCGCCGCCTGCCAGCAGCCTCCCGGAAAAAAAAAAAAAAAAAGATTTGGGAAGCCGGGGGAGGATGAGTGGGGGTGGGGGGGGAGCGGGAGGGAGAACCGGGGCGGGAGAGCGGGAGCGGGACAAGTGAAACCGCCGCGGGGCAGCTCCGGCTGCGGCGCTCCCCAACGGGCGGCGGGGACGGGGCCGCGCCACCGGCGCCGTCCCCGGCCTCGCCGCCGCTCCCGGCACAAGGTGCCAGCCCTGCGCCCACCCCCGCCCGAAATCCCTTCGGAGACCGGCCCCGAAGGCTCCCCCCGGCCCCCGCCCCACCTCCATCCGCGTCCCCCCGGGGCTCAGCGGCTCAGTTTGTGGGGGCGGCCGTGCCCCCCTCCGGCTCCCTCTTGCCTCCCTTGGCCGCCGACGGGTCCCCGGCGCCTTTGCCCTCGGGCTCGGCCCCGTCCTTGCCCCCGTCGTGCGTCTTCATGTGCTTGCCCAGGTGGTCGCTGCGCATGAAGACGCGGCCGCAGACGGGGCAGGAGAATTTCTTGGCGCCCGTGTGGGTCTGGAGGTGCCGCTGGAGCTCGTCGGAGCGGGTGAAGCGCTTGCCGCAGAAGAGCCAGTTGCACACGAAGGGCCGGTCGCCGCTGTGCCAGCGCAGGTGGGCTTTCAGGTGGGAGGTCTTGGCGTACGCCTTGCCGCAGCCGGGGATGTGGCAGTTGTGCAGGTGCTTGCGCTTCGCCCCCTCGGGGCACGGGCCCCCTCTCTCCGCCTCCTGGCAGTTGGGGCAGCGGCACGCCGCCTGCCCCCCGCCCCTGGGCACGGCCCGCCGGGCCCCCTTGGGCCGCCCCCCGGCCTCCCCCTCCGGCCCCCGCGGCTCCGGGGGCCCCTCCAGCGCCTTCACCCCCTCGGCCGCCAGCAGATGCTGCGGGGGCAGCAGGTGGGCGGGGGGCGCGCAGAGCTGGTGCTCGGCCCCGCCGTACCCGCCCAGCCCCGCGGGCAGCCCGGGGTGCCCGGGCACCTGCAGCCCCCCGCCCTGCCCGGGCGGCAGCTCCATCCAGCTGGCCCCGGCGTGCAGCTCCCACCAGTTGACGCCTCCGCCTTCCTCGCCGGGGGCTCCGGGGTGCGGGGGCCGAAACCAGGGCTCGTAGGGATGCGCCATGTCCGGGGCGGCCGGCAGCAGCTTGGCGTAGGCTCCGGGGGCGGCGGGGCCGTCGGGGGGCAGCTCTAACCTCGGGGGGCCATGCGGGTCGTAGGCGCCGGCGGCGGCGAAGGCGGCGGCGGCGTCGTCGGGCCCCGGCAGCGGCAGCTCGGGCGGCGGCAGCGGCGAGGCGAAGTCGGGGGCCCCCGGCGCGGCGGGGCCGTGGGGCTGGAAGGGCTGGAGCGGCTGCAGGTCCAGGTGGGTCGGGGAGGCGCGGGGCGCGTCCGAGGGCTGGGATCCCAGGGAGCCGCAGA